CACACACCTTCCCTGACTTTAAACCATGCAGTATCCCCTTGTTCTGTCCGAACAACTGCCTCTTGATCTATATACAGGTTCCTCATGAGCACAATTAAGTGTTCTGGAATTCCCATTCTCCGCAATGTTATCCATAATTTGTTATGATCCACACAGTCGAATGCCTTTGCATAGTCAATAAAACACAAGTAAACATCTTTCTGGTATTGTCTACTTTCAGCCAGGATCCATCTGAAATCAGCAATGATATCCCTGGTTCCATGTGGTCTTCTGAATACGGCTTGAATTTCTGGCAGTTCCCTGTCGATATAGTGCTGCAACCACTTTTGAAAGATTTTCAGCAAAATTTTACTTGCATGTGATATTAATGATATTGTTCAATAATTTCCACATTTGGTTGGATCACCTTTCTTGAGAATAGGCATAAATATGGATCTCTTCCAGTCAATTGGCCAGGTAGCTGTCTTCAAATTTCTTGGAGTAGACAAGTGAGCACTTCCAGTGCTGCATCCATTTGCTGAAACATCTCAGTTGGTATTCTGTCAATTCCGGAGCCTTTCTCCTTAGGAAGATTAATATTTCACCGTTAAGTATGATGTAAGCTGAAGATTTTTTGTGGGTACGCTTTATCTAATTATGAAAGCTTATTTCTGAGTTTACTGAGAAGTTTCATTGTGAACTGTTTTTGAATTTTATCAAATGCTTTTTCTGTATCTTTTGAGGGGGAAATGTTTTTTCTGCCTTTATTCTATTAATGTGATGAATTACATTGATTTTTCAATATTAAACCAGCCTTGTATTGCAGGAATAAACCCCACTTCTTCATGATGTATTTTTTTTTATGTAATTTGATTTGCTATTTTTTTAAAAAATATTTTTACATCTATGTTTAGAAGAGATATTGGCCTGTCATTTTCCTTTCTTGTAATTCTTTGTTAGGTTTGGGTATCAAGGCTTTGCTGGCCTTATAATAAAAAGTATTGGAAAGTGTTTCCTGTTTTCTGTTCTCAGGAAGAGTTTGTGTAAAAGTGATATTCTTCTTAATTTACTAGTAAAGAGGTGTATTTGTTGCTGTTAGATTGTTTATCTGTTTGTTTGTTTTTGGTGAAAGTATTTTTAATTAAGGATTTAATTATTTTTAGTAGATTTAGGGCAATTCAGGAAGACCCAAAAACTATGCTGCCGCTGCGTTTGCCATCTTCCTAGAATCTCTTTGGTATTTTTAACTTTTTTTTACCTTTCTGCTTAAATCTGAACATTTTCTACAGACCTGCCTTCCAGTTTCCTAACCTTCTATTTGCTGTCTCTAATAATCTATTAAATTCCGTTTAATGAATTCTTTATTCCAGCTATCCTATTTTCAGTCCTGGAGTCCCTGAGTGGTGCCAACAGTTAAGCGTTTAGCTGCTAACTGAAAGATTTCTGGTTCTAGTCCACCCAGAGGCACCTTGGGAGAAAAAAAAAATCTGCCATTGAAAACCCTGTGGAGCACAGTTCTACTTTTAACACAGATAGGGTCACTATGAGTCAGAATCAACTTGAGGGCAACTGGTAAAATTTTTCAGTCTTAGAAATTCTATTTAAAATTTTTTCAAAAATCCCAGGTTTCTGGAATTACTCATGATTATAGGTCACTAGACCTTTTTTTTATTTTTGGCATGTTTCACTTTTTCCTTAGCTCTCAAACTTTATAAATACATAAAACATGTAAGTTTTGCATAATGTTATTTTCCTCCAAAGACCATTAAGATTTGATTTTTGTTTTGTTTTCTGGCACTTGGAGTAGCGGTGATGACCTTGGGCCTGTGGAAGTTGGTTTTAGCCTGTGTCAAAAAACCCTTTGCCTTCGAGTCAGTTCTGACTCATGGCCACCCCATGTGTTACAGAGTAGAACTGCTCCCTAGGGTTTTCTTGGCTGCAGTCTTTATGGAAGGAGATCATCAGGCCTTTCTTTCAGATTGCAACGCCACTGGGTGGGTTTGAACCACCAACCTACAGGTTAGTAGTTGAGGGTAAACCATTTGCACCAGCCAGGGACCTGTTGGACTGTGTAGGGCCAGTCAGCTTCTGCTTTGCCCCTTCCCCCTGGGTGTGACCCTTCCTCTTCCCCTGAGGTGTACCCTTCTGTGGTCTCACCTGAAAGCAAGTGTGTTTTCCAGTACCCTCTGCCTTGGTGAGGCTTGAACGTCACCCCGGCCTCCCCAGCACCACACGCCTGCTAAGACCACGCTCAGCTTTTTAGCCTCCAGCCGCTGGTTCCTGCCGGAATCCTGGAGTCGCCCTTGAGCACCTGATTCTTAGGCCTAGTGAAGTACTTGAGAAGAGACTGCATGCAGAATTTTTGGCCTGTGTCTCTGTAGTCTCCTTGCTCTGCGACCTTGCCCCCCTCCTAGGTGCTTTGGTGTTCCTGGATCCCAACCATCTTCTCAGCCTGTGACCTGCCCCCTTCTGAGCCTCAGTCTCCAGCTCCCTACTGTGCGATTAGAAAGTGCCTCAGGGAGAAGTCAGGGCAGGTGGATGCACCTCTGTGCTTCTCGTCCTGCATGGACCGAGGCCATGAAGCCCGCCTCCTTCACGGCTCTCCAGTGTCTTCAAGCCACTATGGTCTGTATTTTATGTGGTGCGTATGGCTGTCTTGGGAGAGGTTAGTCTGATTATATCCATCTTAGAAGAAATACAACCGGAATGCTCCTTAGAAGCAAGGATGGCAAGACTTTATCTTACTTGCTTTGGGCACATCATCAGAAAAGACCAATCACTAGAAAAGGACATCCTGTATGCTAAAATTGGAGGGTCAGCAAAAATGAGAGAAACCCTCCATGAGATGGATTGACACAATAGCTACAACAGTGAGCTTAAACATACCAATGATCATGAAGATGGTACATGTCTTAGACTGGGTTCTCTAGAGAAGCAAAACCAGTAAAGCGTATAAATATATATAGAGAGAAATCTGTGTCAAGGAAACGGCTCACGTGATTGTAGAGGCTGGCACATCCCAAGTCCGTGGATCAGGATAGAGGCTTCTTTCAATTCACATAGCTGCAGGGGCTGGCGAACCCAAGATTGACAGGTCAGAGAGCAAGACTCCCACTCACAGGCTGTGAAGATGGACGAACCCCAAGATTGGCAGATAAGCTGATAGCTCAAGTCCCAAGAACTGGAGGTCAGATGAACAGAAGGTAGCCGCAGGATCCAGAGTGAGCAAAAAGCCAGAACGTCTGCTTATATTTCATGCGGGCTACACCCCCAAGGCAACTCCCGTTCAAGTGACTGGCTACTCAGAGCAGATTCCATCATGGGAATGATCACATATAAACACTGAGAATCATGGCCCAGCCAAGGTGACAGACAGTCTTAACCATCACAGTACAGGACCAGGCAAGGTTTTCATCTGTTATACATAGGTTGCCATGAGTCAGAGCTGGCTTGATGGCACCTAAAACAACATGAGTGTGATGACAGGTGACTCTGTCGAGGCTGGACTAGGAGTCATGTGTGTCTGTGGTGCTTGTTCCCCAAGTGCCTTTATCCTCCTTTTCGCAGACAGAAGCTGCACAGTGGGGCTTCTCTCCAGGGCTCATCCCGGTGATCTGACTTAGTCTTCTAATGTGAGACAAGTTCACTTGGCACTCGTGGTCAGAAGGACTGAGGGGCCCAGTGTCCAGGCTCTGGGACAAAGGACACCCCTGTGTCTCATGCTCCCCTCTCTCCTTATTTTTTGTTTACAGTTTTCTTCTAACTGTGGTAAAATATGTATGACAAAACATTTGCCATTTCAGCCATTTTTACGTGTGCAATTCAGTGACATTAAGAGCTCAGCTGTTAACCAAAAAGATCAGTAGTTTGAATCCACCAGCAGCTCCTTGAAAACTCTATGGGGCAGTTCTGCTCTGTCCTATAGGGTCACTATGAGTCAGAATCAACTCAACGGCAACGGGTTTGGGTTTGGTTTTTTTAATTACACTCATCATATTGTGCAACCATCACCACTGTCCTTCTCCAAATTTTTCATCATCCTTAAAGAAGCTCAGTGTCCCCTAAGCAATGTCTGCCTCCCTCCCTCCTCTCCACTCCCTCCCCTGGTAACCACTAATAAACTTTTGTCTCTATGCATTTGCCTGTTCTAGATATTTCATACAAGTGAGATTATACAGTGTTTGTCCTTTTGTGTCTGCCTTATTTTGCTCAGCATCGTGTTTTCAAGATGCATTCATGTTGTGGCATGTATCAGGACTTCCTTTCTCTTTATGGCTGAGTAATATATTCCATTGCATGGATATATCATGTTTTGTGTGTGCATTCATCTGTTGGTGGACATTTTGGTTGCTTCCACCTTTTGGCTACTGTGAGTCATGTTGCAGCAAACACTGGTTGTCATGGATTGAATTGTGACCCTCAAAAATATCTGTCAACTTGGCTAGGTCATGATTCCCAGTATTGTATGATTGTCTACCATTTTATCATCTGATGTGATTTCTCTTATGTGTTGTAAATGCTATCACTATGATGTACTAAGATAGATTAGTGGCAGTTATATTGATGAGGTCTATAAGATTAGGTAGTGTCTTAAGCAAGTCCCTTTTGAGATATAAAAGAGAGAAGCGAGCAGAGAGACATGGGGACCTCATACCACCAAAAAAGCACTGGGAGCAGAGCGTATCCTTTGGACCCGAGGTTCCTGCATGGAGAATCTCCCAGACCAAGGGAAGACTGATGACAACAAGGCCCTTCCTCCAGAGCTGACAGAAAAAGCCTTCCCCTGGAGCCGGCGCCCTGAATTCCAACTTCTAGCCTACTAGACTGTGAGAGAATAAACTTCTCTTTGTTAAAGCCATCCACTTGTGGTATTTCTGTTACAGCAGCACTAGATGACTAAGACACCGGTGTACGCTGTTTGCACCCTGCTTTTAGGTCTTGTGAGCATATACCGAGGAGTGGGATTGCTGGGTCCTATGGTCATTGTGTGTTTAATTCTCTCTCTTCTTCTTTGCCAGCAGGTCTCCACCTTAGCGGACCTCTTGCCTTACATGAAACAGTTCGTGGAGCATTTGCAGGAGACAAGTTCACTGAAGAATGCCATCATCATCGAGCAGGTCCCCAGAGCACTACCTCTGTTGGGTGGGGAGTCGGGAGCGGGTTTTCTGGCAGGTTGGTGTAAGCCATGAGGGTGAGTGCCTTGTTTGCGTGCCACCTGGCATGGCCCCGGGGTGGATTCTCTTGCTTTGTCAGATGGAGGGAGGAGGAGCAGGCTGTGACGTGGCTGTCACAGACGCGGTTCTCCTTTGCTAGAGGAATTGCCCCTTCAGATACTTAGAGCGGCCACTTTAGGTGGAATGTGCTTCTGGCTTTGGGCCACATTCTCTCTCTTTTTGTGGCCGAACCCAGTCCTCTGCTGCCCTCCAGTTGCTTCATCAATGTTTGCTGGAGAGGCGTTCTCCCTCAGTTTTGATCTTGAGGCCAAAAGAAAATGTGTCCCCTCTTTAGGATGGACAAGTTGGATTTGACCCATAGATCACCTGGAGTTGAAGCATCAAACATAGATCCACCTGTGGCTCTCATGAGCAGAGACTGCCCCCGAGCTGCAGGCCGTCAGTGGGTGGGACAGGTCACTGCAGCTCTGGGGCTTTCTAAGAAGCTTTGTTTATTGGTTATTCCAGCTTTAAGGGGCAGTCCAGTCCACTCTGTGATGCTGGAAGACCTCTCCTCTAATTTCCCTTTGGGCTACCCAGGGTGTTGGAGTGGGTGGAGCCCTGGGAACCGTCTGGTCCAGGACCACAGTCCCTGATGCTCTGGGGGCTGAGTGGGACCATGGAGTCTGGGCTGGGTGGTCTGGGGCATGGGGAGCCTGAGCCCAGCTGGAGAGCATGGGTGACCCAAAGGTGACGCTCAGCGTTGAGCAAACCATGTGCAAACACCTGGCCGTCTGCAGCCAGATTCCGTCGCAGGCTGCCAGCCTGTGACCCTGGATTCTCACCCGGCCCCTCATTTACAGTGAAAATACTGACCCAAAAGGGACGTCGTGCATCTTGCCAGGGCTGCATGGCGGGTGGTGGTGGCACGCAGCCTGCGCCAGGTCTGCCGGCCGCGCCCTGGGAACCGTCACGCCCATCCCCACTGACCCGCCCATGTGCTTCCTGTTTGCCGTTCCAGAGCTCCTCCTTAAACGAGCCCGCCAGCGGCCTTTTCGATTTCTTCCTGCACTTGGTGCACAACAACGTCATAAAGATCCGGGGCAAGTGAGTGGGTGGTCGTCCTCCTCCTCCCTCGTCATCTCTGTCCGCCTCTGCTCTTTCCTCCTGCCCCCTCCTGCCTGTCAGTCACTCTGTCCTGCTCCCTCTTCTTTGTCAAAAAACCAACAAACCAGTTGCCGAGTCCATCCCAACTCATGGTGACCCCACGCGTGTCAGTAGAATGGCATCCGTAGGGTTTTGCAGTGGCTGATTTTTCTGAAGTAGATTGCCAGGCCTTTCTTCTGAGGCGCCTGCAGGTGGATGCCAGCCTCCAAACTTCCAGTTAGCAGCTGAGCGCGTTAACTGTTTGCACCACCCAGGGACTCCTTTCTTGGTCATTGTTGTCATTAGGTGCCATTGAGTCGATTTTGACTCATAGCAACCCCATGTGGTATACAGAGTAGAGCTGTCCCCATAGTTTCCTAGGATGTAATCTTTACAGGAGCAGATCACCAGGTCTTTTTCCTGCAGAGCCACTAGGTGGGTTCGAACCACCAACCTTCCAGTTAGCAACCAAGCACATTAACTGTTGGCACCTCCCAGGACTCCCTTCTCCTCGGCAGCCCCCTGGTTTCCTTCCCCACCTCCTCCAGCGGAACATTAGGCCTTCCTAGACTCACCCAGACCTGGGAGCACCAGCTCAGGGTGCTGCCCCTGACGCAGACCAGGAGTGTGCCAGGCATCAGAGAGGGAAAAGAGGAATTCAGATCTGTTCCTGTGCTGAGGAACGGTCTCGTGATAGATCCAACCTGCACGAGAGCGTGGACATCTAGTGTTCTGTTCCAGGGACATGGTTGAGCGTTTCAGCATTTGGCTTGTAAGTGCCCTGTTATTCTGTTGTTGTTGGTTGCTGTTAAGTCGAGTGTGACTCATGACGACTCCAAGTGTGCAGAGTAGAACTGCCCCATAAGGTTTTCAAGGCTGTGACCTTTCAGAAGCAGATCACCAGGCCTGTCTTCCCAGGCACCTCTGGGTGGGTTCAGACTGCCAACCTTTTGGCTAGTAATCAATTGCACCACCCTGGGACTCCTGTCCTATTATTGCAGTGGCTAAATCTCAGACATGATTTTACTTTGGCTTATAAAAAAGTACCTTTATCCAGTTTTTATTCCTGCAGGTACTCTCCTCCAGCATTTGTTCTTCAAAGCCTCATTACCCAGTTTTTGTCCTGTCTGTGTAGTCTTGGGCGTGGGCTCACTGTCGTCGATGATGGCAGTTTCCCATCTGTAAAGTGGAGTGCTTTCCCCACAGCCTGCTCCTCCTGTGGGGCCCCTGCTGAGCCCCCGATGGAGGTACTCAGAGCTGTGGCTGAAGGGACGGGAGCACACTGCCTCGCTGCAGCAGACCCTGGCCTCGAGGGGGTCAGGGCCCAGGGTTGATGGGACTTTCACTGTTTAATAGAAGCTGAGCATCCCAGGGTTATGTGAAGTCCTTTGCCATTTAAACACCGGCAGGTAGTTTTTAAACATCGTGCAAGCAAAACCAAACCCTTCACTGGGCAAGAGCGTTGTGGGGGCTCCAGTTTGTAACGTCAGTGTTTCTGATGGCAGCAGGGGATTTGGAGGGATTCCAGGGCCATGTCAAAGGTCATTGAAGGTTGGGTGGACATGAACCGCTCCTGTCAAACAATACTCTGCACCAATTTCTTGGAAGCTTTTAATGAAATATACATATTGAGAGGGCACAAATCACAGTGCACTGTACAGTGAATTTTCACAAAGGACACGCCTGAGCACGTGTGCAGACAGCACCCGGGTCAAGAGAGTACTTTCTTCTCAACTGAAAAAGCTCTACCTGCAACCCCTCTCCCACTGCCCACTCCGTTTGTCCTCCGGCAGACCCGCTGCTACAGAGACTTCTTTGCCTGGCTTTGCAGTTTATAAAAACAGATCCTACAGTGCGCAGGGATCACGCAGAATGCGGTCAGTCTGGACCCACACCACGTTGCCATGTCCGGGGGACGGCTCTGCCCTGTTATCAGAGCCCCACCATGTGACATGAAGCTCATGTTCCCGCCGGCGTCCAGTATGGCCCCTGTATAATGAAAACATTTTAAAAAATGAAACAGGATCCATGCCTCACACCATACACAAAAATTCAAAATGGATTAAAGACCTAAATGTGACAACTAAAACCATAACATTCTTAGAAGAAAATGCAGGGGCAATACTGTCCAGCTGTCTTAGTCATCTAGTGCTGCTATAATAGAAATACCACAAGTGGATGGCTTTAACAAAGAGATATTTATTCTCTCATAGTCTAGTAGGCTACAAGTCCAATTTCAGGGTGTCAGCTCCAGGGGAAGCTTTTCTCTCTCTCTCGGCTCTGAGGGAAGGTCCTTGTCATCAGTCTGCCTTGGTCAAGGAGCTTCTCAGCGCAGGAACCCCAGGTCCCGAGGACACGCTATTCTCTTGGCGGTATGAGGTCTCCATGTCTCTCTGCTCAATTCTCTCTTTTATATCTCAAAAGAGATTGACTGAAAGCACAACCTAATCTTGCAGATTGAGTCCTGCCTCATTAACATGACTGCCACTAATTCCACCTCATTAATATCAGAGGTAGGATTTACAAAACATAGGAAAATCACATCAGATGACAAAATGGTGGACAGTCACACAATACTGGGAATCATGGACTAGCCAAGTTGGCACGCATTTTTGGGGGACACAATGCAAGCCTATAATGTGGGCCTAGCTTTTAACAAAGCCCTGCCATTGAGTCGATTCCAACTCATAGAGACGCCAAAGGATTCCCAAGGCTGTAAATCTTTACCAAAGCAGACTGCCGCATCTTTCGCAGTTGGTGGGTTCGAACCGCCGGCCTTTTGGTTAGCAGCTGAGCGCCTTAACCACTGCACCACCAGGGCTGCAGCTTTTAACAACGGATTATCTACTAAGAAAAGCACAAACAGCAAAAGATAAAATAGATAAATGGAACCTCATAAAAATTAAAAACTTTTATTCATCAGAAGACTTTACGAGAACAGTGAAAAGACAAGCTACCAACTGGAGAACCCTTCAGAAACCATATATCTGATAAGAATCTAATAACAAAAAAAATATGTAAAACTTCAACAGCTGGACAACAAAAAGACAACCCAATCCAAAAAATGGGCAAAGGGCTTGAATAGACATTTCACCAAAGAGGACATTCAAATGACCCCCAGACACATGAAAAGATGCTCACCGTCATTAGCCATCAGACAGATGCAAATCAAAATCACAGTGAGATACTATTTCATTCCCGCTAGGATGCCCAAGGTAAAAAAAAAAAAAAAATGTTGGCGAGGATTTGGGGAAATTGAAACCCTTATCCATTCTGGTGGGAATGCAAAATGGTACAGACATTGTGGAAAACGGTGTGGTGGTTCCTCAAAAAACTACAAATAGAACTACTGTTGTTGTTAGGTGCCATTGAGTTGCTTTGACTCATAGCAACCCTATAGGACCATGGTGGAACTGCCCCATAGGGTTTCTAAGGAGCAGCTGGTGGATTTGAACTGCTGACCTTTTGGTTAGCAGCCAGGCTCTTAACCACTACACCACCGGGGCTCCATATGACCCAGATATATACCGAAAAGACTTGAAAGCAGAGACGCAAACACATACTTGTACACCAATGTTCATTGCAGCACTATTCACAATAGCCAAAAGGTGGAGACAACCTAAATGCCCAACAACAGATGAGTTGAAACTCAAAATGTGGTACATACATGCAGTGGAATACTGCTCAGCCAGTAAGAGAAATGAAGTCTTGATACAGGCTACTATATGGATGAAGCTTGAAGACATGCTAAGTGAAATAAGTCAATCAGAAGAGGACAAATATTATATGGCCTCCCTTATATAAAAAGATAAAACCAAAAAAACTTGTTGCCATCAAGTTGATTCTGGCTCATAGCGACGCTATAGGACAGAATAGAACTGCCCTATAGGGTTTCCAAGGAGTGGCTGGTGGATTTGAACTGGCAGCCTTTTGGTCAGCAGCCAAGCTCTTAACCACTGTGCCACCAGGGCTCCATAAAAAGATGAACAGGCAAATATATAGAGACCAAAGTTGATTAGTGGTGACCAGGGCCAGGAGGGAGGGGGACAAAGAGACCATTGCACTGAGTTTTGGTTTACAGTGATGGAAAAATCACATTGGTTAAGGTTAGGGTTACACATATGATTAATGTAGTTACTGTTAGTAAGTTGTACACCTGTAAAAAGTTGATTCAGGAAAAGTGGTGTGATATATTTACAACAACAACAAAAGAAGTAGCTGCTGAGGCTGTTTATGTACAACTGAAACCTCGTGGGATTTGGTTCCTTGGTTTGGAGGTGTAGGGTCATGGTTTCATGGGACATCCCTCTTAGTTGGTCTAATATCATGTTTAGGCTTCTGTTCTACCTCCTAGTTCAGTGTGTAGTGCCTGGAATATTAAGAGCCTATAAGCAGCCATCCAAGGCACAACAGTTGGTCTCTGTTTGCCTAGAGCCACAGAGGAAAAAGGAGAGTCAGGAATAGGAGGAGGAAATGGAATGTGTGGCTGATTGCCTCCATGAACAACTGCTTCCTTTGCCATGAGACCAGAACTGGATGGTGCCCGGCTACCAGTACCGGGTATTTTAATCAAAGATTCTATAGAAGAACCCTGATCAAAAGGGAGAAAATACAGAACAGAATTTCAAATTCTCATGGACTCCAGACTTTCTGGAGCCATGGAGGTTGGATGAACCCCTGAAACTATTGCCCTGAGATAATCTTTAAACCTTAAACCAAAAATATCCCCTGAAATCTTCTTAAAACCAAACAATAGTTTAGCTGAACTAGTAAAGAATGTCTGCCTTGAGCATTGTGCTCTTTCAAGATCTGTCTCTATGGGATCAAATTGACAACAGCAACTAGAAAGATTAAATAGGAAACTTAGCGGGCAGTGAGTTTATGTTAATGGAGGAGGAACAACTGAGAAAAGGACGAGAATGTACAAACTCGAACAATGTAATCAGTCACTGAACTGTACGTGTAGAAATTGTTAAATTGGTGTATGTTTTGCTGCATATATTCTCAACAAAAACATTTTTTAAAAAAACATTTTCAAAATTTGTATAGCTGTAAGTCAGAATCGACTCAACGGCAATGGGTTTGGTTTTTTTTTTTTTTAAAGCTAAGTGTTTTCTTCCATTTCTTGACCTGGGGGGCTTACACGGGCACTTTCACTATGTGAGAATTCACTGAGCTGGCTGTACTCTTAAAAAAGCATGTGCTTGTCTCTTTCCGTGTTATATGTCAATGAAAAGGTTAAAAACCATAATCGTATATATCAATATGATATTTAGACTAAAAAGTAATGATTATATTTTTAAGGTGGCAACCTACAATGTTTCCTAAAAATAAATTACACCTCTAAAGGAAGTTAAAAGCTGCATTTTATAGGCGGGAAGTCTAACTCCAGAGATTACAGGTGACTCGTCACGAGTTACGTGAGGGCCACGCTCCTTCTGCGGGTCCCTTTCTAGTCCAGGATGTTACTTTGCTCTCACTGTTTTCCAAAAGTACCCACCCACCCCCAAGTCCTTGTACACGTGTTTGATTGGAGAGTTTCAGTGTTTTTTGTTGATCGTTGTAAAACCAAGGAAAAGTCTATAAGCGTTTTGCACGTAGCTGTTAACACGTAAGGCAAGCCGTCTTTAAGTAGGCAGAAGTTAAAAAAGAAATGAGTCTAGATTCGTATTCCTTCAGTCCAGACACCTGGTTGTTTATGTAAACTCCTTAAAATTTTAAAAATTAATGAAAGTTACTATGATGACAGCAACTAACACCAACAACAGGAATCAGAGCACAAGGATGTAATTGCACTCCGAATATTCCCACTTTAGTGATCCCATTTCAGGAACAACGGAGAATAGGGGATTGTGTCTGCAAATACAGCATGTAACTTAGGTATTTACAGACAGCGATAAAGACCATTGGCCATCCGTCTGTCTGTCTTTCTAGCTACCTGTCTTTACACATGCATGCATACATGTGTGTGTTGTGTGTGATAGAAATACAAAGCCCAACGTGGTCTGCTGCCTTTCTAACTCTGCATCTTGCTCCTCTCTCTCTAGGTACTACATCCAGTGCCAGGGGATCCCACAAGGCTCCATGCTGTCCACTCTGCTTTGTAGCTTCTGCTACGGAGACATGGAGAACAAGCTGTTTTCTGGAATCCAGCAGGATGGGTAGCTGATTCTCCTCTGTCTCTCCTTGAGTGATAGCATTTGTGTATATCAATTTGCTTTCAACGCCTTTAGTATTTCCGGTCCTCCATGAGTCAGAATTGACTTGACAGCAGTGAGTTTGGTTTTGGTTTTGGTTTTGGTTAGACATTACAAGGAGCCCTGGTGGTCCAGTGGTTAAGAGCTCGGCTGCTAACCAAAAGGTTGGCAATTCAAATCCACCAGCTGCTCCTTGGAAACCCTATGGGGCAGTTCTACTCTGTCTTATAGGGTCGCTATAAGTCAGAATCGACTCGACGGCAATGAGTGTTTTTGATTTTTTTAGACATTACCACTAGAACTGTATGAAGAAGAATGGGGCATCAGGACTGGAGGAAGACTCAATAACAACCTGTGTTATGCAGATGACACAACCTTGCTTGCTGAATGTGAGGAGGACTTGAAGCACTTACTGATGAAGATCAAAGACCACACACAGCCTTGAGTGTGGATTACATACACCTCAACATAACGAAAACAAAAATCCTCACAACTGGACCAGTAAACAACATCATGATAAATGGAGAAAAGATTGAAGTAGTCAAGGATTTTATTTTACTTGGATCCACAATCAACACCCACGGAAGCAGCAGTCAAGAAATCAAAAGACACATTGCACTGGGCAAATCTACTGCAAAAGACTGCTTTAAAGTGTTCAAAAGCAAAGATGTCACCTTGAAGACTAAGGTGCGCCTGACCAAGCTGTGGTATTTTCAGTCACATCATATGCATGCGAAAGCTGGACAATGAATAAGGAAGACCGAAGAAGAATTGACACCTTTGAATTGTGGTGTTGGCAAAGAATATCAAATATACCATGGACTACCAAAAGAGCGAACAAATCTGTCTTGGAAGTACAACCAGAATGCTCCTTAGAAGCAAGGATGGCGAGACTATGTCTTACATACTTTGGAGGTGTTGTTAGGAGGGGTGAGTCCCTGGAGAAGGACATCTTGTTTGGTAAAGTAGAGGGCCAACGAAAAAGAGGAAGACCCTCGACAAGATGGATTGATACAGTGGCTGCAGCAATGGGCTCAAGCATAATGATTGTGGGCATGGTGCAGGACCGGGCAGTGTTTCATTCTATTGTACGTAAGGTGGTTTGAGTTGGAACCGACTCAACGGCACCTAACAACAACAGATATTACAAGGGAGCAGCGGTGGTTCAGCGGTAGGATTCCCGCCTTCCATGTGGAAGACCTGGTGTCGATTCATGGCCAATGGGATTCATGTACAGCCACCACCTGTCTGTCAGTAGATGCTTGTGTGTGGCTATGATGCTGAGCAGGTTTTGGCGGAGCTTCTGGACTAAGACCAGGAAGAAAGGCCTGGTGATCTACTTCTAAAAATCAGCCAGTGAAATCCCTATGGATCACAATGATGTAAACTGCAGCCAATTGTGGGGATGGTGTGGGACCCAGCAACATTTTATTCCATTGTGCATGGGGTCGCCATGAGTCGGGGGCCCGCTCAATGGCAGCAAACAACAACAGAGACAAGTGTTTTGTCTTAACCTGACGATGATAGATCCTCTTCTTTCCAAAGCAGATCTTGTAAATAGAATTCTAAATGGCTTTAAGCGCAAATGCGGGAGGAGACCCACAGCCCTGCTCCTATTGGGCGTGCTCAGGGGATGCTCCCTATCATGGATTGAATTGTGTCACACAAAAATATGTGTCAATTTGGTTAGGCCATGATCCCCAGTATTGTGTGATTGTCCTCCATTTTGTGATTGTAATTTTATGTTAAAGAGGATTAGGGTGGGATTGTAACACCCTTACTAAGGTCACATCCCTGATCCAATGCAAAGGGAGTTTCCCCGGGGTGTGGCCTGCACCACCTTTTATCTTACAAGAGATGAAAGCAAGCAGAGAGCTGGGGACTTCATACCACCAAGAAAGAAGCACCAGGAGCAAAGCACATCGTTTGGACCCGGGGTTCCTGCACAGAGAAGCTCCTAGTCCAGGGGAAGATTGATGAGAAAGACATCCAGAGCCCATAGAGAGAAAGCCTTCCCCTGGAGCTGACGCCCTGAATTTGGACTTCTAGCCTACTAGACTGTGAGAAAATAAATTTCTCTTTGTTAAAGCCATCCACTTGTGGTATTTCTGTTACAGTAGCACTAGATGACTAAGACACTCACTGGGGGAAGAAGGGTACTCTGACGGACTGATGTCTGAATTAGACGTATGAGAAATCACCATGTTCCTTTAGTATACTCTGTCATTGGTTGAAGGTCCTTGGGGAAAACAAGGCTGATGCAGAGGCTTCCACTGTGAGCACCCTCCCATTGCCCCACAGGGGTTGGCAGTGGGCTTACGCCTGTCCTGCCTCATACTCAGAGGTTCTGAACTGGGGTCTAAATTTTAAAATGTTACCGTGATGCTCCTAAATATTGGGTCAGCCTAATAGTATTGCGCTATCAGAAGGCTTTGGTCAGCCACAGTGAGTTTTTTATTATGAAAATAACATAAATGGCAAATGGAGAAAAAAGCGGGTGTTGTGGGGCGTACTGCCACCTCTCCCCCACCTTTCGGGTGTCTCCAGGTTTAATGTCCTGTGCATCCTTTTTTAAAAAAAGTTACTGTGGGGAAATAGATATAACAAAACGTTTGCGTTTTAGTCTTTCGTGCGTACAGTTCAGTAACATTATTTACATTCCCCATGTTGTACAACCATCACCACTATCCATTTCCAAAGTTTTCCATCGCTCTTAACAGAAACTCAATACCTGCTCAACAGTGACTCCCCTTTCTCCCCCTCCCCACATGCCCCTGCCCAAAAAACCAAACCCGACTCATAGTGACCCTATAGGACAGAGTGGAACTGCCCCATAGGGTTTCCAAGGAGTGGCTGGTGGATTCGAACAGCCGACCTTTTGGTTAGCAGCTGAGCGCTTAACCACTGTGCCACCAGGGCTCCTAATAACCGCTAATAAACTTCAGTCTGTCTGTATTTTCCTCTTCTGGATTCTTCAGGTAAGTGGGATCACACGGTGTTGGTCCGTTTGTGTGTGACTTGTTTCACTCAGCCTGTGTTCAGGGTTCATCCGTGTTGTGGTGTGTATCAGCGCTTCATTTCTCTTTATGGCTGCGTAATATTCCGTTGCACGGATAAACCGGATTTTGTTTATTTATTCGTCCGTGGATGGACACTTGGGTGGTTCCTACCTTCTGGCTGTTGTGAACACTGCTGCAGTGAATGGTGGCGTACCTACGCCCCTTTCTCATGTCTAGTTCTACTTACAGCACATGTCCATTTGCTCGCGGTTCTTAATTAAGGTTTAAAATCCAGACTGAAATAAATATGTAAAAGAAAGACTGAACCTGGCAGCACGTGGAGGGGTGCCCCCTGTGCTGACAGCGCTTGGTGGGGTCCATGGCCCCAGGGTCCTGGGCTGGGATTCGGGGCCACTCTAGAATTGGGGATACGATGTCACTGCACTGTGCCTGATGTGGAGGTGCCTTGTCACCTGTCCAGGTGGGGCCCCAAAGACCCACAGCTATGCTCGTGTACCTGTTTCTTAATCCTGGGGTGAATTAAACAGAGAGCGTTTCCTGTTAGAAATTTAAATTCTCCTGAACCCTTTGTAGAACGTTACTTGTCCGTGCGAATTCACATATTTAATTTTTTCTGCATTCAATCCTCTCTAGACATACTGTGTAGAAAGGAAAGGTCAAATTTCGTTCAGCGTTTTTTCTTCTTCTTTTAGGTTGCTCTTGCGTCTGGTTGATGATTTTTTGTTGGTGACACCGCATCTAACACAAGCTAAAGCCTTTCTCAGGTACGTGTAACTGCTTTCACGGAGTCTGTGGAATTAGCACTACTCGTGCAATTAGGAAGCAGTTGGAGTCCCTGGGTGGGGCAGTTGGTTAATGCACTTGGCCGCTAACCAAAAGGTTAGCGGTTCGAGTCCACCCAGAGATGCCTCAGAAGAAAGGCCTGGTGAACTACTTCCCAAAAATCAACCGTTGAAATTTCGGCGGAGCACAGTTCTACTCTGACATGCACGGGGTCACCATGAGTTGGAACCCACTCGATGGCAACTTTTTTTTTTTTTAAATCAGTTCTCTAAGTCTCAGCTTCTGTTCTTTCCACTGCATCTCAGCATCCCTCCTAAGTAGCACCTGGCAGCATCGGGGATGCAGCTTCCAAGGCCCCATGGAGGGCAGAGGCCGCATGGTTGTGCAGATAGGCCGAAGGGTGGCGGGTGTGCTCACAGCCACAGGCCAGCGCCGCCTTTCCCGTGCAGGGGAAGGCCAGGGAAGACAGCAGTGAGCCCCAGGCGTCTTAGCTCCCTAGGGCCGCTGTAACAGAACTCCCACAAGTGGGTGTTTTAAAAGGCAGACATTTCTTTTCTCATGGTTCTGGAGGCTAAAAATCCAAGTCAGGGTCTCAGTCGGCTGTGTCACTTTTTCTGTGGGCCTCTCTCCTAGTTTCTGGTGTCCCTTTGCTTGTGGACAGGTTCGTCTTCCTCCGTGTGTGTCTCTGTCTCTGTTCTGCTCTTTTTATAGACACCACTCAGAATTGATTAAATTTAGGACCCACTCTGCTCTGGAATGACCTCATCAACACAAAAGGAAGCCCCTATTTCCAAACAAGAGCATATCTGCAGGTACCAAAAGACCAAACCCACCCCCATGGAGTCGATTCTGACTCTAGTGACCCTCCAGGACAGAGTAGAACTGCCCCCATAGAGTTTTCAAGGCTGTAAATCTTTATGGAAGCAGACTGCCACATCTTTCTCCCACGGAGCAACTGCTGGGTTCGAACCGCTGACCTTTTGGTTAGCAGCCGGGCACTTTAACCACTGCATCACCAGGGCTCCTATTTACAGGTACAGAGGTTAGGATTTCAACATATCTTTTGAGGGACACAATTCCGTAACATTACTCTAGGAGCTAGCATCCCATGGAGCCCCTTTGTAAGTTAACCAAAACCAAACCAAACCCATTGCTATCAAGTCGATTCTGACTCACAGTGACCCCATAGGACGGAGTAGAACTGCCCTGTAGAGTTTCCAAGGAGGGCCTGGTGGTTCAAACTGCCGACCTTTTGGTTAGCAGCCGTAGCTCTTAACCACTGCGCCACCAAGGTTTCCTTTGTAAGTCCCTGCTGCTGCTCCTTCACTGCTGTCTGCCTCTGTGACCTTCTGAGCACAGCCCCGCGCGGCCACCCTGGTCTTGAGTGATTGGCACATGATCAGGCCTCTCGAGGATGAGCCCCCATGATGGAGCCCAAAGCAGGGCCATGTCCTTTCTTTGGGGTCCCCGCCCAGTCCTGGCACTCCCTATTCCTCCGGGCTGCCTCTCTGAGTTCTGTGTAACGTTTAACGAGTGCTTTAGCATTCCCCTTTGGTGACAGTCCTTCTACCCCGCTGGCTAACGCTGCCTTCTGACCCAGGACCCTGGTGAGAGGCGTCCCAGAGTATGGCTGTGTGATCAACTTGCGGAAGACGGTGGTGAATTTCCCCGTGGACGATGGCCCAGGCCACGCGGCCATCCTTCAGCTGCCAGCCCACTGCTTGTTCCCCTGGTGCGGCCTGCTGCTCGACACCCGGACCCTGGAGGTCTTCTGTGACTACTCCAGGTGAGCACACCTGGTCAGGTGGGGAAGCTGGTCCAGTCCCATTCCTGCTCCCAGAGAGGCAGGTGATCGCTAATCCTGAAAGGCTCGTGGGCGTGGGGGCCCACCTTTCTGCCTAGGTCGAAACTTTCCTTCTCGGGGCGGGCGGAAGTGTGTCCTTCTCTCAGGAGTGAAGTAACTAGCGCGGTGGGGGTTCCTCTGGGCTTTCCCTTCGGAGAAGGAAATTGTGGGGCAGACACGGGGATGGCAGCATCTCTCAGACGCTGGGTGGATCTTAACATAGAGACTTCGTGCAGCCGTTTGATGGGGGTCTCTTTATCGCAAGGTGCACCCTTCAGCACCCGCTTTGTGGCCATCCTGGACGGCTTGGAGCAAACCGGAAAAAGATTTACAACAAACACTGGTCCAGAAAAATATGAGAACGGTCATGGGCAGACGGTTCGTAGAAGAAAGAGAGATAGATGCTAAACAAACAATTGAGAAGGTTTTATCGATTTAGTTGTCAAAAAAAACCCAATTTAAAACAACAGTGAGGTACCATTTTCCCCCTGAAATTGCAGTTCCTTTTCCGGGCTCATGTCATCAAGGTGGCGCAGTGGTTAAGCTCTCAGGCAACTAACCAAAAAGTCGGCAGTTCGAATCTACCAGCCGCTCCTTGAAAACCCTGTGCGGCAGTTCTACTCTGTCCTGTAGCGTCACTAGGAGTTGAAATCGACTCGACGGCAATGGTTTGAGTTTTGGTTGGTTGCTGATCGAGGTGGGGTGAGGGAGAAGCCACTCTGATGCATTTCTGAGGGGAGCGCGGACTGGCACAAGTTTTCTGGAAAGCAGCTTATTCGCATTAAAGACCTTAAAATGTTCATACATTTTCTTCCCAGTAATTCCACTTCTAAAAATCTGTCCTAAAGAAATAGCCAGAGATGTTATCAAAGATTTTACTTGTGACATTTTTAAATGTTCGGGATAATGTGTCTTTTTTATTATTATTTTTAAGATGATTTATTTTGTGTTTTGGTGTTGAGCATATACACAGCAGAACACTCACCCGTTCAGCAGTTTCTCCATGTACCGTTCAGTGGCGCTGATTACATTCTTCATGCTGTGCAACCATGCTCACCCTCCTTTTCTGAGTTGTTCTCCTATTAACATAAACTCACTGCCCCCTAAGCTTCCTATCTAGTCTATCAAATTGCTGTTATCAATTCGATCCCATGTAGATAGTTCTTCAAAAGGCAGACATTCCTTGCTAGTTAAGCTCAACTGTTGTTTGGTTTTAAGAAGACTTCGGGGGATAGTTTTGGTTTAAGGTTCAAAGATGATCTCAGGGCAATAGTTTCTGGAAAGCCCCTTATTCATATTAAAGTCCTTAAAATAGTCATGTATTTTTTCTCCAGTAATTCTACTTCTAGAAATCTATCCTTAAGAAGTAACCAGAGATATTTTCAAAGACTTTACTTAAACATTTTAAATATTCAGAGTAGCATGTCTCATAACGGCAGATAATGAAACGACCTAGATAAGTAGATAAAGTAGATTATTTTGTGCCCCCACGGGAAACCTCATTCTGCCATTCACATCATGTGCTGAAAGAATATTTAATAACGTGAAGCATTCTTTCAATATAACAGTGTTTACAAGCAGGATATGAGCTCTGCCTCCCAATGGTGTGAATTATATAGATCACACATGTCTGTCTTTGTGTATGTGCGTCTGAGGACAGTGACTAGGCAGATGTTGATGTTGGTGACCCAGCACCCAGTTGCTGGTGAGTCGACTCCGACTCATGGCAACCCCAGTGGTGTGTCAGAGTAGAACTGTGCTTCACAGGTTTTTCAATGGCTGATTTTTTTGGCAGTAGATTGCCAGGCCTTTCTTCCGAGGCACCTCTGGGTGGATGTGAACCTCCAACCTTTCAGATACAGCCAAGCATGTTAACCGTTGGCAGCACCCAGGGACTTCTTGTCGATAGTGGTGAGAGAACATTTTCCTTGTACTCTCCCGCGTCTCCCACATTTCTCATCGCGCGGATGCGTGTGCGGTCACACCAGCTGGGCTATGCTGCAGCCTTATGATGTGTCAGTGGCTGGTGGCAGACATGCGGAGATACAGATGAGCCCGTGCTGCGGAGGTCATTCCTTGCTCGCTGTGCATGCCCGGGGCCAGCTGTGGCTCTGCTCCGGCCCTCCTCATCCAGGCCCAGGCTGTGGGCGGTCCTGTTGGGGACATCACCTGATGCATCAGCAGGGGCAGAGCAGGTGGCAGGGCAAGGACGGCTTCTGACATGCAGAAGTGATGCCTGCACTTCCCTGAGTGTAGGTGGACCAGAGTCGCTCTCAGGCCACCCCCGTCAGTCTCCCCACGGGGAGGGGTGGGATGTCTGGTGAGGCAGAAAACGGGCCTGCCACATGGCATTGCTTTTGTTATATGCATGTTGTTAAAAGAAAAAAGAAAAAGTTGCAAAATTCCTGCTGGAAGAAATGCATTAAGTGGGGAGAAGCAGGAACGAGCTTGTGTAGGCCGAGGCTGTGGGACATTCCCCAGGCTGGACGCCCATAGGCGGCGCCCCCACTGCTGGGGGGCCATCCTGTGCTCAGTTGTCCTCATTACGCAGGGGGCGTGCAAGGAGGCACCTTCTTTGGGACTGAAACTGCCGTTGCACAGATTCAAACTCCAGGCGGTTTTGGGAGATGCGCCGGGTCGTGGATGCCATCCGTGGGCGCCTGCGTAGGGTCTTCCTTACGCCCCATGTAGCGATAGCGGCCTCCTTCCTCTGCGTCTCTGGGCTCAGACCACAGCGTGGCTTCTTTGTGCTTAGAAACATCCCCGAGCGCCAAGTCAGATGAGTGTCGGCTCGAGGGAGCCCAGCAGCCAGCGGCTCTGTGGGTTTTGCATGATTTGCGTTGTTGGCTGAGTCGTGTGCTGGTTTTATCTCACTTGTTTTCCACTAATGGACCTGTGAAACCAGCCGGGGCTTAGACAACCGAGGCGGTCAGCCCAGTCCCTGAGCGTGTGTGTGCATATGTGTGTGAGCACAGTCGGCGTGCGTCAGTGCATGAGCGTGCACGAGGGCTTGCCCAGGGCTCCGAGTTGTGACCATGACCGCTTACCGTCAGCCGGACATGTGTGCAGCGTGTCGTACTTGCTGTGACCAGGACATGGGTGGGTGGGAAGCGGGAAGGACGGGGGATAGGGAGGGCTCTCCTGAGCCAGGCTTTCACACAAAGCTGGGGAGCTGGCTGTGGGGTGGACATGCATGCTAGATGCTGTGAGGTGGACACACGTGCTCAGTGAAGTGAGGTGGACACGCGTCTGGCACTGTGATGTCGTCTTGTTTGGCACTGTGAGGTGGACACCCGTTTAGGGCTGTGAGGTGGACACACGTTTGGTACTATGAGGTGGATACACGTTGGTGCTGCGAGGTGGACATGTAGTTGGTGTTATGAGGTGGACTCAGACATTTGGTGCTGTGAGGTGGACACGTAGTTGGTGCTGTGAGGTGGATACACGTTTAATAATGTGAGGTAGACACATGTTTGGAAAGTGAGGTGGACTCACATTTGGCACTGGGAAGTGGTCTCTAGTTTGGTGCTGTGAGGTAGACACACGTTTAATGATGTGAGGTAGACACGTGTTTGGAATGTGAGGTGGACATGTTCAGTGCTTGAGGTAGACTCACGTTTGGCGCTGGGAGGTGGACTTTAGTTTGGTGCTGTGAGGCGGACGCACGTTTAATGATGTGAGGTAAATGTGTTTGGCACTGTGACGTGGACACGTGCTTGACTCTGTGAGGTGGACACATGTTTGACAGGCTCCCTCCCCTCCCCTCTGTGTCTGCAGTTACGCACGGACCTCAATCAAGGCGAGTCTTGTCTTCAATCACGGCTTCAAGGCCGGAAGAAACATGCGTCGCAAGCTCTTTGCAGTCTTGCGGCTGAAGTGTCACGGTCTGTTTCTGGATTTGCAGGTGAGCACGTGGACAGCATGTGGCGGAACAGATTCCAGAGCTAAGAGATCCTGCTGGCCTAAAATTCTGAATTGTGACGTTTGTATGGCTATCAGTTCATGCCCCTGTGGTTGTGTGTGTGTACATGTATGTGTAACTGTGTGCATGAGTGCTTGAGTATGCAAGCGTGTGTGTGAGTACACATGTATGCAGGAACATGCATGTGTGTATATACTTAAGTGTGCATGTGTGTGCACATCTGCATGGGCACATGTATGTGCACAGGTGTGCATGTCTGTGAGTGTGCATACGTGTGTACGTGAGTGTGTGTACATGCACACTTGTGTCCGTCCACTTTAACTTGGTTGCCGACTCCCCTCTCCTTGGCACCCAGTCCTTCCCGTAAAGAGTGTGGAGAGTCAGAGGCACTTGGTGGGCTCTGGGCTCTGGGACTAGACACACAAAGGTGAGGGGCTGGCTGTGGGGTGGGCGTGCACGTGCGGGCTTTCTCCTGGCCCCCGAGGGCCCGGCAGAACACAGCGGGTCTGACACTGTCCCACAGGTGGGGTAGCAAGCTGCCCCATACCGGCTGGGCTAGACTCCGCTGGAGAAACAGGTTGGTCTCCTATCAGAAAATTCCTCTCTGTTATTCAACTGACTGGTTGATAAAGCAGAGAAGAAATTCCAAGGACATTTTTACTGTGCTCTCTCTTTCTTTTTAACTCCAGGTGAACAGTCTTCAGACAGTTTACATCAATGTTTACAAGATCTTTCTCCTGCAGGCCTTCAGGTGGGTCACTGGGGTCACGTGGCCACCAGAGGGAGGCAGAGGGTCAGGGATGTCGGGATGGGGCCCTGGAGAGGCAGTCCTCTGCTGTTCTTTTGTCCCAGTGTTCTGTGCTGGAGCTTCTGAGGCTTAGGAGAGAGCAGTATCCGTTGAGTTTCTTTGGCAGCGGATGCCATCTCTTCTTCATTCTGGTCGTGCTCTGCTCCCTGAGAAGTACCCGTTTCCTGTTGTCCGTGTGATAGTAGTGTGGTCCTGGGTTGTCCCCGTGTTCTGGCACTGATCGTCCAGGGAGGGTACAGACCTGTTAGGGTGAACCCTCAGAGAAGGGTAAGGGGGGCGGAGGGAAGGCAGCCCCTCAGGGAGGGTGTGGGGGAGCAGAAGGCCTCTGGCGAGATTGGGGGCCAAGGGAGCACAGAGAATAGTCTTTGCTGGCACCCCCACCTCTCTGCACCCCAGAAAGGAGCAGCAGAGAGCTGGTTGCCCAGGGGTGAGGCATGCAAGGATTATTTTCTGCATCTGTTGTGAAGCAGGCTTATAATCTGTTACAGCAATTAAATAAGGGTCTGTGAAAGATGCGTCTGTGAAAACGTCATTCTAGGAAAGCTCTTTTTTACCCCAAAGAGTGACTCTGCCTCTGTGTCTCGGCATCGATGGCCACGGGCCCCATTGGTCCCCCTTTTAGTCAGGGAACCAAGAGGTGCGAGAGTCACGTTTGCTGAGTTCTAGAAACCCCTGCAGCCCTTGGGCCGTTTCTTCTCTCTTTGGTCTTTTTGTGGTTGTAGTTTTACATTTTCCTGACCATGCACCTGCGTTCTTGCGTGTAAGCTGCCTTGACACCTTTCCGGAAATATATTTGGAATATCAGTGGGAAATATCCACACAAGATCTTTCTCAGGGTCGGTGGCTTGCTGGGGCTTCTTCGGGGAGTGCTGACATCAGTCAGGTGATGGACTCGAGGTGTGGGCAGCGGCCAGCCCCCAGGTCCCTGGTGGCAACACGTCACCCGCACTCAGCTAATGGGGTCCTGCTCTTTCTTTTCCTGTGTTCAGCTCAGCATCACACTGTCTCCCCACCACTGGGCCCCTTACTCCATGGGCTCCTGGCTCAGGACAGCTGCCCTTCGGTGACACTGTGGGGACCCTGAGTTTGGGGAGGCTGCACCATTTGTCTCATGTGCGGACCGTCAGGTAGCACTGCGCCCCACAGGTAGAGTGGTGTGTAGTGGCATGAAGACAACAGTGGGTGCAGAGCCAGCACAAGTGTGGCCTTCCCTCAGATGTGTAAGAGGGGAGCATGTGGGCGTGCTGAGGGGACCCTCCCTGTGTCCCTCAAACAGGGAGAGTGGGGACGGGAGCCAGGTGTGACGTCACGGTGGTGACCGTGGTCCTGCAGACAGAGTGGCCGGGGGATTGAGGACAAGAGCTGGGTGTGATGTCACGGTGGTGACCGTGGTCCTGCAGACAGAGTGGCCGGGGGATTGAGGACAAGAGCTGGGTGTGATGTCACGGTGGTGACCGTGGTCCTGCAGACAGAGTGGCAGAGGAGTGGGACGGGAGCCAGGTGTGATGTCACGGTGGTGACCGTGGTCCTGCAGACAGAGTGGCAGGGGATTGGGGACGGGAGCCAGGTGTGATGTCACAGTGGTGACCATGGTCCTGCAGACAGAGTGGTAGGGGAGTGGGGATGGGAGCTGGGTGTGATGTCACGGTGGTGACCGTGGTCCTGCAGACAGAGTGGTAGGGGAGTGGGGATGGGAGCTGGGTGTGATGTCACGGTGGTGACCGTGGTCCTGCAGACAGAGTGGCAGGGGAGTGGGGACGGGAGCCAGGTGTGACGTCACAGTGGTGACCATGGTCCTGCAGACAGAGTGGCAGGGGGATTGAGGACAAGAGCTGGGTGTGATGTCACAGAGGTGACCATGGTCCTACAGACAGAGTGGCGGGGGAGTGGGGACAGGCTGGGCGTGACTGTGTTCGTTCAGATAGAGCGGGTGATGCTATGCTCGCTCATGTGGCTCCCAGACCCAACCCTCGCCTGTGCCCTCTGACCTGGTCCTTCGAGGAAGCCTCCAACATGATGGGGGTGTGGGGCAGAGCCCCCTCTGGGCATGGGCTGGAGCCTTGGGGGATGGAAGATCCTCCCGATGGAGGTCCTCTTCCTCCTCCGTGCTGAGCACTGTGACCTCCAGACAGATGCTGAGCAGCCTTACTCCCCTGGGAGGATCCTTCACCTGCAGTTGTGGTCCCCTCCCAGGCCTGGTAGTGTGGCCCCTGACCCAGTGACTTGGGCAACTTACCTTTTCTTAGAAAACATTTCTGAACTTGACTTTCAGGGAACATACTCCCTACCTCAGAGGGTCATTGGGAGGGTGACATCAGATTGCTTGTCTGCTCGATACACTGTCTTAATCTCCGAGTGCTGCTGTAACAAATACCCCCAGTGGGAAGCTCTAAAGACCAGACACTTCCTTACTGTTCAGGAGGCTAGAAGTCCAGATCAGGGTGAGGCTCTAGTGGGAGGTCCTCCTTTGTCAACTTCAGCTTCTAGTAGCTTCCGGCAACCCTTGTAGATGCATCTGTCTCCATCATAGTCTTCCTCTTCCCTTGTGAGTGTCTCTGTGTTTACTCTTCTCCTGGTATCACTCAGAAGTGATTAGGTTCAGGACCCACCCTACCCTGGTTTGTCCTCATTCACATAACAGAAGAAAACCCCTAGTTCCAAACAGGGTCATATTCATAGGTACAGGGCTTAGGATTTCAACATGTATTTTTAGGAGAGACAATTCAATCCATAACAGACACATCTGACATATTCCAGAAAGGGCTTAGGCAGGCGATGAGATCGGGTACTCAGGCACCTGGCAGAGGACTTGTCATGTGGTTGTGCACACACATGCAGTACACACATCTGCACACAGCAGACACATATGTGCACAGAGATATATGCACGCATGCATGTACACAGTTACACCTTAGGTACACATACACAGTCCTACATATGTAAACATGCAGGTATAAGCATGTACATGCAAACACACACATGTGCACATGTACACGTGCACACATACACATAATATATATTAACGCACACGCACATAAACACATGCACACGTAGACATCTACACACATCTACACATATATGCACACATTCACACGTGCACACAGATACATGCATAGAATGCACATGCCTACACGCACAGGTGTACATGCACACATAGACACAAACACGTTTTAGCCTGGAGACCTTCCTAACGCCACTTGCTCTCTCCCTTAGGTTCCATGCCTGCGTGCTCCAGCTCCCATTCAATCAGCAAGTTGGAAAGAATCCCTCGTTTTTCCTCAGGGTCATCTCTGACACGGCCTTATGCTGCTACTCCATTGTGAAAACCAAGAACGCAGGTATGCACAGGGCCTGCGGCCACGAAGGGCTGAGCCCCAGGCACCGTGTGGGTTTTGAGGGTCGCTGTCCGCGGTGCTGGTGAGATGGAGTTGCCCCTGCCCAAGGGCGCGCTCACACTGCTTAGCAGCGAAATGGGCCTGTGCGTGCCACTGTTGGTGTAAGCAGCATCCGCCTTCTTGGTGTTCAGAAAGTCAGGACATTCGGGAGGGTGGGGCTCGGAAATTTAGAGGTCCTCAGGCACCCAGAACTGGTTGTGCTACTGACACCCCTGCTGGTGAATGAATCTCCTAGCCTCCTGCTGACTGAGCAGGCGGTTCTTGGGATCAGGGTGGGTGGGAGGAGGTTGGGGAATTGGCAGCGGCCCTTCTCCCTGGAACAATGAGCAACATCATGATAAATGGAGAAAAGACTGAAGTTGTCAAGGATTTCATTTTACTTGGATCCACAATCAATACCCATGGAAGTAGCAGTCAGGAAATCAAAAGACACATTGCATTGGGCAGCTGTGCTGCAAAAGACCTCTTTCAAGTGTTGAAAAGCAAAGATATCACCTTGAAGACTAAGGTGCATCTGACCCAAGCCATGGTGTTTTCAGTCGCCAAGGGATTGACACAGTGGGCTCAAGCATAACAATTGTGAGGATGGCGCAGGACCGCACAGTGTTTCTTTTGTACATAGGGCAGCTGTGAGTCAGAACTAACTCAACGGCACCTAATAACAACAACTTCTCCCTTCATTCGTCCATCACACGTTGGGTGGCAAGTGCCTGGGCGCCTAAGCGGGGCAACAGCAGGCGTTCGGAGCCTGTGCCCGACAGCCCCTACCCCGCGCCGTCCTCCCCGTGTGTGATGGGGGCTCCTGCACAGACCTAGACCGGCCTGTTGGGAGGAAGCCGAGTCCCTGTCAACTCCCAGTGACCCCCTTCCCATCTCAGGAGCAGAAAAGTGATGGGGGACGCCCCGCTCCGCAGTGCGCCCGCTCTCTTCTTCCGGGACCCCGCCCTCCAGGTCCTGGTGCACCCTCACGGAGTTCCTCGCCTTCCGCTCTGCACACGGACCCCTCTGGTTGTCCAGAATCCAGGCCAGGCCACATCTCTGTGGTCCTCGGTTGGCGGTTTGACTTTTTGTTGGGTTATTTCTGTTTTGGAGATTTCATTTGGAGAAACAGAAGCGTTCTGGCTGGCAGGATTCTGTGGTGCTGGTGTTGGTGCAGCCCCTGAAAGGGGTCGCCTGCTTGCCCCTGGCCAGCCTGCCACCACCCTGGGCTCAGCCTGTCCTGGGCCTCTGAGCATGGCCGGCAGGTCTGAGACAGAGGATCTCTGAGGGAGCAAGGCAGGGGCTGGGTGGGCAGGTCCTAACTTCTCTTTTTACCTGCAGGGATGTTGCTGGGTGCTCCTGGAGCCATGGGACCATTCCCTTCTGAGGCGGCCCGCTGGCTCTGCCACCATGCCTTCCTGCTCAAACTGGCCCGCCACCGAGTCACCTATAAGTGTCTGTTGGGGACACTCAAGACAAGTGAGCCCGGGCAGAGGGAAGCCCTGTCACTATGCTGGAGCAGCAGCCTTGTCTGTGCGGTGATGGGCGGGGGGTGTGCGGGGACATTGGCTGCTAGTGAAATGCAGATTATAGCCACCCCCCAGTGTCTGATCTGGCGGGGGGTGGGAGCATCTGAGACCCACACTTAGAAGGTGCTCCCACAGCGAGTGGGTGTTGCAGGGTCATGGGCTCCCTCGCCTGCCCCCTGAGGGCTGGGACACCGCTGGGCCAGTTTACTTCTAGCTCCCACCTCATGGGCCCTCTGCCCCTCCTCTGCAGCCCCGAGGCCTGCGCCCCCTCTCTCGTCTCCTCCTCTCTAATAAACTGCACAGCCTCCTTCCTGCCTTTCCCCTACCCTTGCAGGCCTGCACTACCCCCCATCTCCTCCCGCCTCTCCCCTGCACTGGCAGGCCTGCACTCCCCCTCTCGTCTCCTCTCCCCTGCACTGGCGGGCCTGCACCCCCCTCTCGTCTCCTCTCCCCTGCACTGGCGGGCCTGCACTCCCCCTCTAGTCTCCTCCCGGCCTCTCCCCTGCACTGGAAGACCTGCATGTCCCCTCACTGAGCCCCCAGAGCCTGGAGTGGGTCAGAGCTCAGTAAGTGCAGCGGCTGTCACCTGGGCCACGGGGAAGGGCACTCGCCTCACGTCAGGGCCTCTCACTTCAGTCATTTTCTTGCAGCCAAGATGCAGCTGGGCCGCAAGATCCCGAAGGCCACAATGGCCCTGCTGGAGGCCGCCACCACCCCGTCCCTGTGCAGCGAATTCAAGACCATCCTGGACTGATGGCGGCAGGAGGCCCCTCCTGCAGCCTGGGACCAGCTCCAGGGCAGGTTTGGGCTTGAGCCCCCAGCAGCCACCATCGGTCTGCTTCTCCTTAGACGAACTCGAGAAGGGACTGTTGGGTTGGCCGGCCGGGGGAGGCTCTTTGTGGCCGCTGTCCTGCCCCGCTCCCTGTGCTGCTGGAGCGCACTGGTGGCTGGGCTGTCCTGGGGGTGGGGCTTGCCCCGATGTGGAACCAGTGGTGGGGGGCCCCCATCCTGGTGCCCTGGGCTTGGGAGGAGAGCCCACCCAGCGTGACCCTCTAGTGGCTCGAGGGTGTGCATCCTGGATCAACTAGTGACAGTTACAATTAGGCATTGCTATTAGTGACATCCAGGGCAGTGGAGGAACCGGCCTTTGGGATGGGAACTGAAATCCGCTCTGGCCCTCAGTGTTGGGGCCTCTCACCCACCCCCTTTGCCAAGGGGCTGTCACGGAGGACCTTGACTTTCAGACTCAGCGATGATACCTCAGGCTACAGCTGCAGCAGGCTTGTCCCCCCCCACCCCAACGGTGCAGGGGTGCACCGGGAGTGCCTCTGGCGTGGGCTGGGCTGGTCCTGCCACCCACAACTGCCGTGTGAGCACTCCCCAGCCATCATCCGAGCTCCTTGGTTTATGGGCCCCAGGGCTGCATCCACCCCAAATGAAGCTTTCCAGCCAGCAGAGGGCTGAGTCAGCAGTTTAAGGCCCTTCGCCTGGCCACATGCATGCCTGTGACCTTCCTCCATGCCCCGCACTTGTCTCCTAAATGTCCACACCCGGCCTGCCCACTTGCCTGCCCGGGACTCTGCACCGGCCGCTTCTGCCTCCTAGACTCCTCCCCACGCTCTGCTGGGCCCCGCGCAGCCCACAACACCTGTTGCTCTTCTTGGGCCTTGGTCCCCGAGCGCCTGCACCTCCCGCCTGCGCTCTGCCCTCTTAACCTCACTTCCCGCGGGCTGTAGCACATGGTGCCTTCATCCCCCGTGACTCCCCAGCATCAGCCGTGATGTGAGTGGCTGGAGGGTCCCGTGACCTCATCTCCCCTGCCCTGGGCCCCATGCTGTGCACCTTCCCTGCTGTCACCCTTGGGGACTTCCCACCTAGTGTCCACCGTGGGGGAAGATGCTCAAAACCTGCCCCACCTTTCCCTCCCTCCCTCTCCAGAATCCCACACCCACACTTGTCCAGCAACACTGATGTCTAAGCCCCTCTCCCTGAACTCCACCTCCTGTCTGACTGGCTACCTCCTTCCTCCACGTTCCCCTGAGCCCACCCACTGTAAACCCTGGATCCCGTGGTCCCCTGCGGCCTTTGTGGGCTCCATATGCTGGCGAGCCCAGCCTACTCCCTGCAGCCTGGGTGGGGTCCCAAGGGTGTGTCCACGCAGGGTGAGGGCCCTGCAGGAAGAAAAGAACTTTGGTAATTTTTTCTCATCCTCTTAAAATGTCTATATTCTTGTACTTGTTTAATAATGCACATTAAAACAAAAAAGTTGCCATCGAGTCGACCGTGACTTATGGCGACGCCATGTGTGTCAGAGTAGAACTGTGCTCCCTAGGGTTTCCAGTGACTGATTTTTTGGAAATAGATCACCAGGCCTTTCTTCTGAGATACCTCTGGGTGGATTGGGACCACCCACATTTTAGTTAGTAGCACTGTATAGCTGTCCCTCAGTATCCGTTGCTCGGTATCCACAGGGGATTGGTTCCAGGACCCCCGGGGATACCAAGATCTGTGGATGTTCCAGTCCTTTATATAAAATGGCATAGTATTTCCATATTACCTGTGCACGTCCTCCCGTGTACGTAAATCATCTCTGGATTCCTTGTAATACTTAGTGCACTGGGAATGCTATGAGAATAGTTGTTAATGCTTGCACTTAACACTTAATGCTTTCTCAGTCTTTGCGGGCACTTCACCACAAACCAGAGAGACCATTGCTGCCATTGTAGGGGCAGCACTAACCCTTCCATGAATTTCAGCTTCTTTCTGCTTGCTTGTGCAAATGATTCATTATTGACCTTACGGCCCACTTTTCGAAAGATCTCAGATGTTTATTTTCTCATCGGGAGAGAGCACTTGATGCTCCCTCTTAGCCTGTGGGATTGCTTTGGCCACCGAATTGCTTGTTGTCGTTGTTAGGCACCACTGAGTCAGTTCTGACTCATAGTGACCCTACGTACAGCCGAACGAAACACTGCCCGGTCCTGGGCCATCCTCACTACTGTTGTTATGCTTGAGCCCATTGTTGCCACCACTGTGTCAGTCCATCTTGTGGAGGGTCTTCCTCTTTTTCACTGACCCTCTACTTTACCAAGCATGTTGTCCTTCTTCAGGGACTGATCTCTCCTGATAACATGTCCAAAGTATGTGAGATGGAGTCTCTCCATCCTTGCTTCTAAGGAGCATTCTGGCTGTACTTCTTCCAAGACAGATTTGTTGGTTCTTTTGGCAGTCCATGGTATATTCAATATTCTTTGTCAACACTATAATTCAAAGGCATCAGTTCTTCTTCGGTCTTCCTTATTCATTGCCCAGCTTTCACATGTATATGAGGCGATTGAAAATACTATGGCTTGAATCAGGCACACCTTAGTCTTCAAGGTGACATCTTTGCTTTTGAACACTTTAAAGAGGTCTTCTGCAACAGATTTGCCCGATGCAGTGCGTCTTTTGATTTCTTGACTGCTGCTTCCGTGAGCATTGATTGTAGGTCCAAATAAAATGAAGTCTTTGACATCGTCAATCTTTTCTCTGTTTGTCATGATGTTGCTTGTTGGTCCAGTTGTGAGGATTTTTGTTTTCTTTATGTTGGGGTGTAATCGATACTGAAAACTAGTCTTTGATCTTCATCAGTAAGTGCTTCAAGTCTGCTTCACTTTTCAGCAAGCAAGGTTGAGTCATCTGTATTTCACAGATTGTTAATGAGTCTTTTCCAATCCTGATGCCCCATTCTTCTTCATATAGTCCAGCTTCTTGGATTATTTGCTCAGCATACAGATTGTATAAGTATGGTGAAAGGATACAACCCTGATGCACACCTTTCTTGACTTTAAACCATGCAATAGCCCCTTGTTCTGTTCTAACGACTGTCTCTTGGTCTGTATACAGGTTCTTCATGAGCACAATTAAGTGTTCTGGAATTCCCATTCTCCGTAATGTTATCCACAATTTGTTATGATCCACACAGTCAAATGCCTTTGCATAGTCAGTAAAACACAGGTAAACATCTTTCTGGTGCTGTCTGCTTTCAGCCAGGATCCATCTGACATCAGCAATGAGATCCCTGGTTCCACATCCACTTCAGAATCCACCTTGAATTTCTGGCAGTTCCTGGTCGATACACTGCTGCAACCACTTTTGAATGATCTTTAGCCCAAGTTTACTTTGATATTATTTGATAATTTCTCCATTTGGTTGGAGTACCTTTGTTTGGAATGGGTACAAATATAGATCTCTTGCTTTTTAGGAGCCATTTTTTCACAGAAACAAAGGTGCACACAAGTAGTGAACAAATGAGACACGAGGCGAACAATGCTCAAACAGCGCGTGCTGGAGAGAGACCGAGGAACTCTGACGTGGCGGTCGGCTACAGCAGGGGATGCCTGCACATTGCTTAATTCCTGTGGATTCAGCGTAGTGCTTGCTGCGTGGCAAATTCAAGTTTTGCTTTTTGCAACCTTTTTTTTTCCTGAATATTTTCTATCCAGTTGGTTGACTCTGCATGTGCAGAACCCACAGATACGGTGGGCAGACTATTCCTTTAACCGTTTGCACCACCCAGGGACTTCTATAATATGTTGTGAAGGATTTTAGAAATTCAAAATTAATAGATACTCAGGTTTGTCATTCATAAACTCGTTTAGCTTATTGCAAGCTAATCACAGCTAGGCACCGAGTAAGACTTCACAGTATACGCTTAGAACCAGAGAATCAGAATTAACAATTACAGTGTTGGTTCAATGGCTAGAAGCCAAATCTTTTGGCTTCAGGCTTTTACCTTTAATGAGATGTCTCAAGAGGAAGGCTTAACCACGGCTCAAATTTGGCGGAGGTCTTTTGTAGCGAGGGGCCGAAGTTGGCAGTGGTGGGCAGAATTTTAGTTCCATCTCTGCCATCTCTCAGTGAGTGAGCAGAAATTTAGGGTTTATATGTGAATTTGTCACCTTGGCTCCACATGACAAGGGCAAGTGTGACACCAAAGACTAGCATGTTATGTCTTTTCTCCAGGGTTAGAGAGTAGTAGAATGGCACATCTTTCCTTCAGGGTTAGAGATTAGGGAGGTGGGTTGGATTTACGTTTTCTTGGGTCACAGCATGCAGGGTCAAAGTGAACTTAAAGGTTGTTTACGTTCTTACATACTTCTCATGCTTCTGTGTTTCTGTGTCTAAGTTCAGAAATTTCCTAAATAACTTCCTTAGGACTTACAAATTTCTAATGACACAACTAATGGTAGAGAGCCTCACAAAGGTAGACATTTCTAAGTTCATGTTATGAGTGTTTATACTTACGTATTTTGAAAGCATTAGAGTGACTTACACCTTAGAAGATTTGAGATTATTATAGAAACATACAGAACACTCTAAATACCATTATATATAATTATAAATGTGTACACGAATATTAGATGCCTGATCAAAACAGGCTCTGAACTTGGCTGGGGGTGGGAAGGGGAGACAGGTAGAAGACAGAGTCTAGAAGTCCCGGCTGGTGGCAGGTCCTGTCCTGCCTCCTGGGAAGCCTCGCCTCCAGCAGCCCTGCGTCAGGTCTGGCAGGAGACGGAAGGGGAGCCTGTGATGGAGTAAGTGCTGGCCTGAAGGGGCTTCTTTCTTGTCAGACTCCTCAGACATGTTGAGCCTTGTGTCCTTCAAAAAGGGAGGAGGATACCATAGAGTTCGAGCCCCTTCTGAGCACTCCTCAGCTTAGGGTTCTGCCACGTTTTCCTCTGGCCTCTCTTGAGGGCAGGCCCTGGTGATAAG